ACAAGCAAGCGTATTTACTCCTAAAGGTTTCACACAACTCCTACTAGCGATAATGGGCCGTGAAAGTGTCTGCCTCGCTGTACGCTAGCCAAACGTGCCCTAACAACCGCTGATAAATATTGTCATTATCGGACCCTGCGCTTAAACAGTCTTTAAGATAATTACTTCTTATATACCCCAACGCCACGGCACAGAGGGGCGAGAATGCCTTCGACTTTGGTTCGAACTGAGCAAACGTTTGTGTGGCTCAGCTCACATGCAAGACTTTACTGCATGTGAGTGTGTGTGTGTGCCATGCAATACGCTGAGGCAAGGGCTTTCCCATGTTTAACTAACAAGCAGATCTGTTGAAGCCAAAAAAAAAAAAAAAAATTTTTTTTAATTTTCCTTCATATTTTGTGAGTTCTTTATTTAATAACCCCCCACTGATCAAATTAACACCCCACATGCTCGTATCTGTTTCTGCCCTTAATCATTATACTAATTAATTGTGATTTAAACCAACAGTTAATGCTACTGTTTGGATCTGCCTGGCACTGCATGGGAAAAACCCTGCTGGCTGGTGGGTGTGTGGGGAAAAGGGGGGGGGGTGGGGGGGGGGGGGGTGGGGTTGTGCTGTAAGGTAGTCTCACCTCTTGGACAGAAGCTTGTTGGAAAAGAGGAATAAGGGGATTAGTTCTCGGTATGTCAATGTGAATCTGCAGAAAGAGAAGGAGAGAAAAAAAAGAGACAAACACTGAAGCATCGGGCAGGTTAGCATAGATCTGACGGAGGCAGAGTGAGCAACAGCTGGAGGACCGGTGTCCTGGGTGGAAGGCAAACAGGGATTTGTTGATCTGAAATGGTTCGCACTCGTGGTCTTGAGTCTATGGGTGTGCCATCTAAGTCAGTGGTCCCAAACTTTTTTGGTAAAAGAGTGGAAAATAGGCAAGAATTTATACAAAAATAAAATCAAACATTTTTTTGTTCTCTCTGCGTGGACCAGAACTACATAATTCATGGCTCGGAGGTGAGCTGTTACGTTACCTAGAGCAGTGATTCCCAACCACTGTGCTGTGGAACAGTAGTGTCATGAAGCGATCATTAGGTGTGCCATGGAAAATTTCACTGGGCTTCCCAATTTCATTGGTCACAAAACTAATATTTATTTACTGCATATAATTTTGTTTGCTTGTCAAAGCATGAAAGGCAGAACAATTAAATCCCGCTCTGCCAGATGGCAGCAGATGGCAGCAGATGGCTATGAAAACATAACAAAAAAAATCGAGTTGTTGAAGAGGATCTTTGCATATGTCTTTCTTCAATTTCTGCCAGTAAATCAGCGTTGTCTTTATCTAAACAGACTGAGATTTTAGTCAGGTAATTTAAACAAGATTATATTTCATTACATAAAATTTTGGTGAGAGTTTTGTCTGGTGGTGTGGTGTGAGATCTTTCTTGATGATACATATGCGCCATGGCTCAAAAAACGTTGGGAAACACCGACCCAGAGGTTGGGGACCCCTTGTCTTTGTGACAGTGTTTTAGCGTCTGCATGTTTTTAGTGACGTATCCTGGAACTGTATTTACATGTACATGTCAGACCACGTACGCACCATTTCAGAGGCCCCTCTTCCTCCCCGCCACCCTCCCTGCCCTGCGGCCCCCCCTCCTGTAGATTAACAGGAGCACAGGCGGACAGATTCAATAGAAGGGAGCCAGACGAGGCAGGACAGCGGCTGGAACGGTCCAGACATGGACAGAGCCTCTGTCTCCTCTGTCCACCTTACCTCTGTCACCTTTGGCTGCAGCACCAAAGACTCGGGACTCATCCGAGGAATGTCTATGTGGATCTAGCAGTAATATGGGAGACAAAAATGTTAGACAGGAAAACACACACTCACACACAGACCCTGTATTCAAACAAGAGCGGTGGTGAGACTTTGGCAGGTTAGGAGAATCAACTTTACCACCTCAGACTGGAAGAAAGTTTTTCTGAATTGTCTGGTCGTCGAGAACATAAACATTACCTCGCTGCTGTTTCATTTACACCTTTCAAATACACCTTTGCAATTAACAGCCACGAGACGTCCAGACGTTGGGCCTGCGTGTTTACTTGTGGTCAAATCAAAGATGAAAATGCACACGCAGCATAGGCTAATTGCATTCAATCTGGTATCATAATCTGACAAACTGACGACGTTAATGAGGGTCTCATTAGGAAGATATATCTGTACAGGACTATTTCAGAGTCCAAAACACAACAACTTTTTTTTTTAAACTATAGTTTGTCTCTGTACAACAAACGCTGCAGTGACAGGGAGAGTTATGAAATTTCCTGCCACTAGATGGGAGCAGAGAGAGAGACTCAAATCTGTTGATCTTTGCGTGTGTCTTTCATCAATTCCTGTGAGTTTATTAGCATTGTGTTCAACTAAACAGGCCCGGGTTGCCACTGAGTAGTTGAATTGAGACTAAATTGTAACTAAAAGATCACTGTATTTCATTACATATACTTTTTGTTTGGTGGTGAACCATGGGATATTGCACATGTTAAATATGTGCTGTGGCTCCACAAAGGTTGGGAAGCAGAGGTTTAAACAAAGCATACATGACTGCACCACTAGTTGTCTTTTGTAATAACTAAACTGCCTTAATTATAGACGGACTAACAAATGAGGACATCCATGAACACAAGATTTATACGTCCACAGTAACTCAAAGATTTAGACGCTTGCAAAAAAAAAAAAGGAAAAAAAAATCAGTGTACAAACTAAGTACCACAGTCAGAGACAGAAAAACAGCAGATGTGAATGCACTCAACAATTCCACACAAACAGGGATGAAATTAGCGCGAAAGTGTGAAAACTGTTTCAAAGACAAGATCCAAACAATCATGAAAACAAAGCACCGCGCCTCCAAAGAAAGCAACGTAGATCAGATCAATGGGAAAATGGAAGGAATGGTGAAAATTGTTGTTGTTTTTTTTTTTGCTATCGACAGCTCCCTTTGATGTTTGTTATCGCCCTGGAAAGAATAGAAAATAGTCAAATATTAAAATCAGACAGACAGTCTGCTTAAGGAATAAGAGAAGAAGAGTGAGGACAAAAGAGAAAAACTACGTGCTGAGCCGACTTTAAAGCCGAGCTTCGGGCAAAAGAGAAAAACTACGTGCTGAGCCGGCTTTAAAGCCGAGCTTCGGGATGTCATTTAGGCAGCGTTCCGATGCTTCTGCTTTTGTTTTTTTCCGCGTGCACACACTTCCTGCACGTGTGTTGACAGACACTACCTAAACACACACACAGACGCGTGACAAACTAAATATGTACCAAAAAAAAAAACAACGGAAAAGAAAAAAAAAACATATAAAGACATGAAAAAACACAGATTTCTGTCAGATGAACAGATCTGGTAATTCTCTCTGAAAGGTTCAGTCCTGTCAGAACACAAACATATGCTTTCAAAAACACAAACACCTTTGTGCTCCTGCTGTGGGAATAAAAGACAGACATGAGGTTGTTCTGCTGGCTGGAGACATGATGTTTCAGTCATCCATTTTTCATCCCGTCCTTAAAGTATACTATTAGATTTAGAGAAATTCAATTATTAAACACACAGACACACACACACCTGAGTGAGTTGTTAAAAGCATGTGATTTGGACAGTGCTGTGTTTATACCTGTCTGTACGTGTCTTGGTGGTGTTCATCATTGCGGGAGTCGTAATATTGCTGGATGAAACCAAAGTATTCTTGTCTCTTCCTCTGTAGAACACTCTCTCTTCTGTCGGCGTTGGCTGGCAGGTAACCCTGAGAGAGAGAGAGAGAGAGAGCGAGAGAAAGACGAGAAAGGAGATGAGAGAGAGAGAGAGAGAGAGAAAGACGAGAAAGGAGAGGAAATTTAGAACAGCACAAAGACCACAGGACCAAAGCTGTTTCTCCGATGACACATATATCTATGTATTTGAAACATGAAACACAGTGTGAACTAAAACACTGTCTGTAAGAGGTACAGTTGTGTGGGCTTCAATGTTTCATATTCAATTTGACAGACCTTTTTTATGAAACAGCTTGTCATTGAATTTTTTTTTAAGACCTGTTTAAGAGCACAAATGCAATTTAGGTCCAAACTCGCAGCAATAAGATTTGGCCTCGCTTTGTATAATGAATCACAAGAAATGAGAAATTGACAAGACCAGGAACTTGATTCATTCAGGCCTGGATAATTCGTAGTCTACGAAGGAAGTCCAAATAGGACCAGTTAAAGTAACGTTTGCTAAGCCATGTAGGAGAGAGCCATGGGGGAGAAAATAAAGGGGGAAGAAAGAAGATTTGTTGGTATAATTGGGAATTTCCAAAAAAGCCTTCTTCAAATTCTGTGAAAAAAATCTCGTATTGCGTCTGCTTGATCATTTTCAGATTGTCGCTTTATTTGCATTAGAGTCAAAGTAGAGAGCCCCACCTCCTGGCTAACTTTGGCCAATGCCTCTTTTTTGTTTTTTTGTTTTGGTCCCAATAAAAACAGTGGTGTCATACAGGACCGGGTGCCCAGCTTTTCCTTCACTTTTATGCTTAACTTTAGGGAAGTGACATCAGGATGACCTTGTCGCTGATTGGATGACTGGAAAGTCATTTGCATAGTTGCAGAGTTGCCACTCAATTCTCGTCTATCACCGCCCAATAAGCCTCCATGATTTTATTTAAATCCAAAAATTGTCAAAAATTGGATGACTGGAAAGTCATTTGCATAGAGTTGCCACTGAATTCTCGTCTATCACCGCCCTATAAGCCTCCATGATTTCATTTAAATCCAAAAATTGTCAAAGGATGTCACCTGAATCAACAACATCCACTAAAGAAGTTTTCATGAAAGAGATTGAAGCTAATACCAAATGAGAAGAAAGTCAAGTCAATGTGACTTTTAGAGTTTCAAGTCATGAAAGTCAGACTTACTATACGACACACAACATTTCATTGACTTTACGGCTAAAAAAAGAACCAAAGTGAAATCAGGAGAGAGACAAGAATTATTGTTGCACAAAACACTCCCCTTAAAGACAGATTTATAAATTTGGCAACACAAAGACAAACAAAACAAAAGCGGCGTAATTCTCCAATACAGTGAGCGCATCAATCATTTTAGGATTTTTTTTTTCCTCTCTTTATCTTTTGGTTCCAGTCACTGACCCTCAAAACAAACATGTAAATCCTGGCGGAATCAAACAAAACACTCCTAAAGAGGCAGATTCATCACTCATCACAACTCAGCGCTCCACCTCCAAGAACCGTGCCAGTCAGCCAGACGCTCGCAGCGAATGACTTTCCCCACATTCACACTCTGCCCAAAAGGCTATGCATCATCTCAAGCTGCAGCCGCTCCATAAGCAAACACACACACACACACACTGTGAGAGAGTGCACGCAAACAGAAAACACAACAGGTCAGCCACGGCGCGGTGGGCTCTCGCGGGAGGTGCACTCTGCCAAATGAAGAGAGGGGAGAGTGCATGTGTGCTGAAGGTTAATGGACAGCTTAGTGGAGGTCAATCACACTGCAGCTGCATTACTGCTCCACGGGACATAAGCTGTCAAACACAGGCCCACACACAGAGCCGTCCAGGGGAATCTGATCTGACCGAGAATGAGGAGAGAGTTAGCAAAGTTAGCATTAGAATCGAAAACTTCGCCAGTTAAAAAAAAAAAAAAAAGTTTTAATTTTCACAGAGTTCTGTCATTTTTAATACCATCTGCAATTACAGATGTGTGTGTTCTCGATGGTTCAATTTCTTCAAATCATTATTCTGCTTGTTTTATCGATTCTTCTAACCCAGGGATCTCAAAAGTGTGGCGCAGACAGCCCCGGGCGGTGCACAAGTGGCCACTAGGGGGTGAAAACGATTATTTACTCCTTGCTCTTTAAGCCTAGAAGCATCAAGTGACTGCAGCAGCCAGTATCTGTGACCTGATGAATCCTCATGACCCGGGGGGCTCTGCTTAAGACACTGTGGCCTGACCATAATCTGCAACGTGTCACTCAACACTCACAGCAGCTGAAGTTGAGTGAGCTAACGACGTCTGCTTCAACGTAAGAGTATAATTAAAAATATCGGTCTTACAATACAAGCAGTTAAAATGTCCTCATCCTCGTCCTCGTCCTCGTCCTGGAGTGACTCATTTAATATTGACTGATTTTAAAAAAGGTTGAGTGGAGAACAACACAAAACTGAGAGGGACAACAAATGTATGAAAGCACTAAGAGATTTGCTCCTTGTAGAGATTGTGGCACCGCAGGGCTTCTGCACTGCTGCCTCCCTGTAATGGTCCAGATACAATGTTCTGCATCTGTTAATGCTCTACGGAAACAATGCACTACACAACTCTTCCATCCATCTAATGGATCCTGCACAACCGTAAACTTTCCAGTGAAATGCTGTATGCTCTAAGCAAATTATTTGGGGAATTTGGATGAAGTTTATTTTTGCATTTTCTTCCTCTCACAGTCTAAATTGATTTCTACTTAGCAGGGAGTGTGTTGTGCAGGGAGAGCAGCCTGAAAAACAAACCGTCTTGCTGGAGGAGCAGCAGAAAATAAACAACCGAAACTTATTTTCTCATGAAATGTGTTTCTCGAAATGTTTCACTGCCTGCTGTTACAACATTTGTGGTTTAAAATAAAAAACAAGGTGAAAAGAATTTGACAAACTTACTCTAAACGGTGGCTGTTTGTACCAGCTTTTTTTTTTTTATTTATTAAAAATCAAAGCTCATTTTCAGGTTTTCAGGTATGAAGGAAGGCTGGACCACAGGTGGATAAATTCAAGCCCACTGACCACAGTGAGCACAGGTCTCCCAGAACTTCACATCAGAGCCATTAGCTTAAACTTTAAAAAAAAAAAACAAAACCTCACCAGCGCTAACCTCGCTGGTCGACAACATCGCTTTTAAGAAAAGAAAAGGCTTCTAATTTAACCAAAAATTTTAACAAGACATTTTTAAGAACTGAAGCTTTTCCCAAATAATATTTTTAAAAATCCAACTATTAAAAGTGACTCCGTATTCATCTCAATATCGCTAAACCTAATAAGAGCAAGTCATAATCTGAATCATGTAAAAATGTCTTTTACTTAAAATTTACATTTACGTTTTATTTCTTTTTTATTATCCTCATTTTCTGGAGCCAGATTTCTGGTGTTATCAGTTGCACAGACTAAACTAAACGTTCCAGGGAGACACAACACTGTGTACAAGCTGTCGAAAATGAAAAAAAAGCAGGTTGTTTTTTTTTTTGTTTTGTTTTTTTTTTTCTTGCAGGCAATATAATTATGTGCAGTGTTGTAAGAATACAGTTTAACATAACAACCTGTTAATCTGTCTCTGCTTCAGCCACTGCTTTATGATACAGCGGGTGTAACGCTGCTGCAGCCTTATCAATACTTCCACAGCCAGCATGTTCCCTCCTCGTCCACGACTTCACATTTAACTGCCTCACTCCATTAGGGAATGTACATATCGCCACAGGCTAACGTTCTTTCACAAAGCAGAAAATCCATTTAATTTCTCTCCTTCGCCTTCAGGCTCGGACACCAAGTGCTCTTTAAAGGAATTAAATAAGACGACATGATTTATTTATTTAAAAAAGGGGGAATTTTTACTGGATATGTTTCCAAAGCTTAGGGCAATCTACTGCACAAAAGAGTAAAGAGTTCCACAACTGAAAACCAATATTTATCGGTTTCTAATGGGTGATGCTGAGACCATAACCGAAAGCTTGATATTTTCCTATTTGACCTTTCACACCTGTTGAGCAGACCTGCCCATGCCATGTTCATTGGTTTTAGCCTCCTTGCTAGCAACTACAAGGTAGATTAGAAGATTTTTTTTCCCAACCATTTTTTCAAATTTTTGGCCAATCAAAAATTGTACCAACTTGCTTGATAGGTAAACTGGGGGGGCAATCAGCAATACAGTTCCCCTTGAAGGGCCGGTTGTAAATGAAAGACTGTATAGATGAGAGGTCCACAACCCCCGGTCCGCGGACCAGTACCAGTCCATAGGTCATTTGGTACCCGGCCGCCGTAGGACACAGTGAAAAATGTACTTCAGTTTTATTAATTTACTTCATTCAAAGAAAATGTATTTAAAGAGAATCTGGTAATATTTTAAAATAATAGGTCACAGGTGACGGGTGGTACTGGGTGACCCTGGTCAAAAAGGTCGGGGACCACTGGTATAGATGTAACTACTCCATAACAGACTAATAAATGTTTCTGTAATTGATTATTATTACAAATATTGTTAATTTGCTGTGTAATAAAAAAATAACTGTTTAATATTTCAGGTTAAGAAACTCTGCTGCATGGACTTTACTAAATACTTTTTAAGCTCCCGTGGGCCACACAAAACGACTCGGCGGGCCGCATTGGACCCCCTGGGCCTTGAGTTTGACACATGATCTATAGACTAAATAATTGACCGATGATCTCTCTGCATCAAATAATCCTTGAGTTTGACACATATGATCTATAGACTAAATAATTGACCAATGATCTCTCTGCATCAAATAAAAGCATGAATCTCTACCAAAGAGTCCTGCTGATGATTGAGAGTGAACACGTTCTGACATAGTAACTGAGGACCCTGTGGGAGACGTGTGACCCCAGTGAGGTAACTGGTTTCGTGTCATTGTCAGGTAAAGAAAACAGTAGTTGGAGCATGTCTGCTGGAGGGGGAGGAAAAAAATTAAAAAAGAGAGAGAAGTTGGAGCACACTGGTGAGCAGGAGAAGGGTGCAGGGGACGCCAGCGAAGTGAAGTTTTATTAGGTGCCTCAGCCAAGGTTATGGAATTCACAGGGGCTGTGAGCCTCACTGTGTGTGCGTTAGAGTGTGTGTGTGTGTGTTAGACAAAATAGATTTTTCTGAGTTTGATCCCCCCTATCTATTTCTCCACCGGGTCACACCACAGACAGGACAGAAAAGGCAGTCAAGTGTTATGAAACTTCAGACGATATGAGAGCTCCTGACACCGAGCCTACCTTTCACCGCATCTAAGCCTGGGATTTACACAAACTCCAGAATTCCATTGGAATGTTCAGTGAGTGTGGCTTTAATAGTCAAAAGACCTGTTGTTATTATTCTTTTATGCTTTGGCAGGAATAATAAAATAACCTCACTCGATGAGCTGCGGTCGGCTCTACAACATTTGAGCCTTTGGTGACTAATCTGAAGCACAGCACCAGCTGGTATTTTTTAACAAAAACCTAAAAAAAAAAAAAAAAGTTAAGAATCAATATTGAATTTGTCTCAAATCCTGGGATATTTGCTGTTGAGGAGCGCAGTGGCTTCAGCAGGTGTGATTTATCAGAATTTGTTGCAAAAAAAATATACAAATGTGAACAACAAAATTGTATACTTACTGCAGTATTTTAATTGATTCTTGATACTCTATGTCTTAAAAATATTTAAATCATATGAAATGACATTGATTGGTTGTGAATCTGTCTGTGTGCTTGAAACCAGCCGTCATGATTTGGTTTAGAAAAAGAGAGACAAAGAAACAGGCTAACAATCTAATCAGTACATGTTATAAAAGTCACAAAAGTCAAATATAGTTTTAAATATAAAACTGGTTTTAATTTATAATTCTATCCATCCATTTTTGTCCGCTTATCCGTTACCGGGTCGCAGTCGCCAAATCACACAGTACCGTACCAACCCCCCCCGAACCTTCCTGCGGGTAGTGAGTCCCTTGGAAGGTACCAACCGCCCTGACCGTATATGTAAATATATATATGTAAATATATATATGTAAATATATATATATATGTAAATATATATATATATATATA